AGTGCTTTTCTAATAGCAGAGGAAAGTCTTCCAATTCCCAGTGATGGGTGCTATGCATTCTGACTGTCCTAAACCACGTATCCTGAGTGCTGGTTATTGAGAAACCAACTCTCTGTTGCCAAAGCACTATTCTACAGACCAGTACAGGAAAATTCTGCCATAGAGAACAGGTATTTGGCTTGTCGAAATTTCTCAGTATTTTCATTTGTTGACACAAAGCCCCTGTTTTTCATTCCCACTCAACCCCCCAGTGTTTCCTTTCCCAAAAGCAGAGAAAACTGAACTTAAAGATAGGAAATCATGTGCTCTGGAAGTGAAGGTGTCAAAGGAGTGAAGCTGTTTCCCAAAACGTAGTTGTGTTTCTGAGTCGCAGCTGGAACTTGTTTTATGGAAAGCTGAACAGATTGAACATAAAAGGTTCTTCAGCCTGCAGAGCCCTCAGCAACGTGATGGAATGGATTTTTCATTCACATGAGGTTAATTTCTTAATATTTGGGAAAGTTCTGTGATGCTGGAGATGCTGGAGATGTCAGCAGCTGAAGTGCCAAAATGGCCGCTCCCTAAGGTGCGTGGAAGCCGCACCACGGTGATTCTGGTGCAGGTGGGCAGTGGGAGGTTGCCTGGTTTTCCCACGTGCAGTATGTGAGCACAGTTGTATTACCTGGGTACCTACTTACAATATTTACATCTTTAAAAAATCATTTAAAGAATTATCTGTACTAACAGATTTTACTTTCTTTAGTTCTCACCTGCCCCTCATATAAGCCCACGGACTTAGGATTCCTGGTTTGTTTTAATAATTGTAACATTTTTATAGCATGTGTAACCTCAATAGAGGGAGAGAAGATTAATGATTTTATGTGATTTTGTTTTTCACCTGGACACGGGTCTTTTAGGTTCTCCCTGAAGGTGTTAAGGCTTCCATAAGAAGAACTGCTTTGCTTCTACTTACTGTGTCCCAAATCATCTTCTATCTGTGATAGCATTCGTCAGATTTCCCCCAGAGATGGATTTTCATTTATAGAAGACAAGGAATATATTTGTAGGGGTTTCTGAGGTCTGTGGGGCAACTAAAGAATGACAGCTTTGAAACCTTTATCCAGAAGTGCTCTGTACCAACTGCAGGCTATATGAAAAGAAACGAAAGATAAAGTACTTGTGCTTAGCTGAAATTTCCAGAAACCTTTCAGACACTGTACCCATGAGCTTACATTTGAATAATCTGCTGTTTATCTGCCCAATAATAACTAAATGTGCATACACTCAGTCAAAGGACAACGTGAAAGTACATCCATAGCTGTGCAATGGCTGTGCTTGCAGCATGCACACTCCACCTCCGTTGTTCTCTTCTTTGAGGGAATTTATCAGGAAGCTTAACTGAAATGTTCACAGGCAGAGAGCTGCAGTGTCAGCACTCAGGTCTCGGTGTGCCTCAGAATCACAGAATGGCCAGAGTTGGAAGAGAGCTCAGAGATCATGAATCTCCAGCCCCCCTGCCACATGCAGGGCCACCAACCTCCCCATTTAATACTAGACCTCCTGAGCTGCCACGGGGGTCCATTTAGGACCACTTGTCAGCAGGAAAGTCTTCGCTATGTGAGTACTTCCCATGGGGAATTCCCAAATCAAGGGTTGACATGGAGAGAAGAACCTTACTGTGCTCCTGAGCTGCGTTCAGGTGTTTGGCACTTCAGGACTAAACTGGTACTCCTCTTTTAAAATTGTCATTCCATAAAGCTTGCCAAGGTATCTGAAATAACTCTTACATTATGCAGATCTTTAATGTGCAATTAATATCAGTTATACGATTAAAATTTTAAAACAAAGTCAGATATAAATACAAGAAGTAAGATCTAGCCAGCCTCATTAGTGTCTTTCTCTGCTTGCCATCGCATGGGTCTGAATTTGCTTTTTGTCTAGCAGACATTCAGACCAAGGATGGGTTGGTGTCTGGCTCTCTGCTGGGTACCATGTGCATTATTGCCTTAGGCCCATTGCACAAGGAGTTTGGTCCATTTCTGAAGTAGCCCTCTGTTGCAGAAAGACTTACAGAGGCTGTTTTAGAGTGACACTGGATACTGTGTTGCACAAACAGGATGTAACACAAGGTTATCTGCGACTGTTCAAGGATGTGAAGCATGTTGGGGCAGTGTGGGGTTGGGAGGAGCAAAACCCCCCGCAGTTCTACCCACCTCCCTTTCAGACGGTGTTCTAGGAATGAATGATCTTGCAAACTAAGGTGAAGTGTTGCTCGGGGAGAGCAAGGTGGTGCTGTCAAGAAGTGCAGGCATTAGATGGTTATGAAGCACTTTGGAGAATCAGGGGCGTTGCTTGCTTAACTTGTGGCATGCTTCTCATCCCCTTTTTCGTTTAGCAGTACAGACAGACTTTAGTTAGAACCAAATCCAAGGTGAATTACACAGCTCTTGCAGGCTGTGAGCCAGTCCTTCGGACAGTTGCCCTCCTTAGGCTTCCTCTTCCCCAGAGTGGCACTGAGTGCAGCAAAACAGCTCCTCCTCACGCTGAACTGAGAACAGCAGGGAACAGATGAAGATACAAATTCCTGGCAGTGCTCAGTGCTACAATTAAGAATCACTTTGTAATAACTTTTTCAGCTTACAGGATGAAGTTTGAGTGCTGACACACAATCCTCTGCATGGAACCTCTGTGCTGTGCTCTGAGGAAATCTGCTCTGAAGAGGAAAAATACTACGAATACAATATACAGCAAATCTAGATCCCACTGTCATACACACTTCTAAGCAGCAGAGCTCACTACAAAGTGGCTGAGCTGTGCTTTTTTGGGCAGACAGTTCTTCTTTAGTCAGCTGCTATCATGGCAGCTCATTCATAATTATGCTTCACACCACAATGAAGCAGAAAATAGAAACAAGACCAGCAAACCCTAGGAGGAAGTTTTTCACACAGAAGGTGGTGACGCACTGGAGCAGGTTGCCCAAGAAGGCTGTGGATGCCCCATCCCTGGAGGCATTCAGGGCAAGGCTGGATGTGGCTCTGGGCAGCCTGGTCTGGTGGTTGGTGACCCTGTACACAGCTGGGTCTTGAAACTGGATGATCATTGTGGTCCTTTTCAAGCCAGGCCATTCTATGATTCTATAAAACCTACCACATAGAATTTGTATTGATTTTTAAAAAATCTTCCTCAGAGAACACGTGGACTCATCAGTGCCACATTTGGTCCTCATGTGGAGACTTATGGGATGCTGCTCTTAGAAGAAAGGGAAGAAGAGTTTCTATTCTGCTATGGTTTGAAATCTGGGAGCTGATGTGGGCCACCCTGTAACTTAAGAAACTGGAAAGCTAAACAGCAGACTGGAAATGCAAGTCAAGGTGTTTAGGTTTTAAACAAGCACTACTACTACCTGCTACAAATCTTTTAACTGCTTTAAAAATAATCAAATGAAAAATAGTCAGATCAAGAGAGGATGCCTTTTCTGTTACAGAAATGAAGCTGGAATACACTGTCCTTAAGACTAAACACCTAACCAGCTAACACTGCTCTCCTTTTTACCTAATATTGCTCAGATGTTAAATAATATTTCTCATAAGATGAGACTACGCTTGGCTTTTAAGCACAGTTTGTTGGGCTTTTGTTTTCCCAGACAGCAGCATGAATCCTAAATTACCTCATTTTCAATTATGTAAGTGTCAGTGAGAACTGAATCTGACTCTTTGATTTTGTTTTGCTGTGTTGTATTGACTCACTACTTCGATCAGTCGGTGATGTGTGCACACACCTGGACGTTGCTCAATACCTATTACATCACACACAGAAGAGCCCCTCGGCTATGCCAAACACACAGAGAGCTGACTGATGCCCTATCAGCACATAGCAGTCCCACCAGTGTAATTAAACCACTTTTTAATCTTGGTATTTAGGTCTGTGAAAAGCACTGTGGCTGCAATCCGCCATGTGACACACCAACTGTTTATAACCATCTCTTATCTGTTCATCTGAGTTCTGTCATTTACACACCACGTCTCGCAAGGCGATGGCAATAGATGAGGTATTGTGTGAAGGCAGATCTTACATGGGGAAAGATAACAAAGGCCTTTGAGACTGCGGCTCTCCTCAGAATATGCACTGATAACATAAAGCAACAGTGTCCCGTCATCATTTAGTTCCAAATTAGCAAGGTTTACATTGCATGGAACACAGAAGTAAGCTTGTGGGTTCCGTGTTTGCACCGTTCCTTCTGTCCTGGCCAACTCCTTCCTTCAGTCCTCGTCCTGATGATTTCAAAGCCTCATTACAGATGTAGCTGAGGGGTCTTTTTGTATTCTTCTGTTGTAAAAGAGTTACTCATCGCTTAATGGGAGGCACACTTGAAGCTGCTTTCAATTAGACAACGCTTAAAAAAGGTACGTATGTAAAACCATGCTAATAAATTAATCTGATGGCATAAAAAGAGAAAATATTTTTGCATTTCTATTCCGTTGTGCTGTCCAATTAATTTTTAGAGGTACAAATGTCTCTGTAACCAAGTGATCTATACACTGAGGAATTTAATGGATTTCTTAGCTGGAAGAAGAGGCTGTCACAGCATGCCCAGTATATAATGTAAGTCACTTACTTTGAACGCTGGCTTCTGCAATGCATTCAACAGATCCAATTTATGAAGAACTCATTATTTCGCTATTGGTCTTCCAAAGCCTTTCCATAAACTAATTAAAATTTCCCAAAGAATGTTTTATCAGGAAGAAAATTAGGGTATCCTTTTGTGGAAGGCTACAGGTTTTTTTTTTACTGTATCAAGGTGATTTATCATTGTGCAATAATAGGGAGCAGGTGTTTTTTATGAAAGATTCATAAGCTCAATCCTACAAATGGATGCCTGGCCTTTGTGACCCTTTTTACCACATGCAAGATGACACACATCTCCTACTACTGATAGTAGTAGATGTACAGAGAACAAAAGTGCCACGTTTGCTCTTACAAGATTGCCCAGTGTTCTTCAAAAAATACAATCAAGAACAAAATAAGCTAACTATAACATTTATTTAAGTTCCTATACTGTTGTATTACAACCTTGATTAACAAAACCATACCAACAGGAAAAAAAAATAAATGAAAATCTTACTATGTTATCCCAAATGCTAATAAAATTCTGTGTCTTTAAATAAAGGTACTAACCTTCAGAGTAATTCAAAACTATAGATAAAGAGTTGTACATTTAAAAACACACTGCAAAGGACTGTTAAGGGCATGGGATGCAGCCTACATATTGCTATAGAGCAGTGTGCATGGCATAATTGCCTATGTGACTTGCCTGTGGTGTGAAACAGTTGTCTCAGTAAAAGTCATGATAAAGGTGATTAATATGTGCTTATTTCCTTAAAGATGAGCACCACCTGTGTCTGGAGTGAACTTCAGAAATGAGCGTCACATTGGGACCGGCACAGAAGTTGTGCCATTCACAGGTCCTTTTATCTGACTCTGCAGCTCACTGCACAAGATGGCGCATGGATTTTTCCTTCAGTAAGTTACAAAATCTTGCCAGGTTAAGAATCTGTTTCAAGGGTTTTGCAGGATGGGACTCAGAGTTGTTTAACAAGTTCTCATTTAGGATATTATTCAATTATTTAACTGGGAGGAATGCATGAGGATGCATCTTCAGTGACAAATGTCAAGAAGGATCTCATCCATGGCAACTTTTTTCACAGAATGTGTCCCAAATGGCACGTGAGGAAAAACAGACACTGGGGAAAAAACAGCTTGCTGTTCTCTACTAACTCTGACAGAAAGAAGACCCAAAAGTCACTGTCTATACATTTGAACAGACGCTGCCAGCATTCTTCCAGCTCGTTCAAAAAATCTCCTCTTGCAACAGCTGCCATTTTGCAGAGTCCACTGGGCTTTGGCAGACACATGACAGCTCTATGAGTGAATATGTTACACAAAATCTTTGGAGTACAGTAATATTTACATTAGAACATGATCCAGTTTCCCTTCATTGAACAGATATAGTCTTCAAAACACACAAAACACTGAGATCTTCTAATAAACTTGTGAAAAAATTCAATATATATGGGAATTCATAATGTATTTCTTCAGTGGATTAAAGGGGAGGCATCCGTACGTATTTCAGGCAGTCAGATCAGTAACATATCCTCTCCATTTCTTTAAAACAATTGAACTTCTGGCAATTCACTGTGTAACTGCAATCATCTGATTCGATGCATCTTTTGGCAAAATCGCTGTGATCAACCAGCAAGCACTGGTCTGTCATGGTGCCAGAAAGCACTGGAGATCTTGATTCCACCATCATTTTTCTCTAAACAGAAAGATATTGAAAAGCTCCAGCTATCTTCTTATCCCAGGGTTTTCCTTGCGTTTTGGGACAGTTTGTGATATAAATGGGGAGCAGGTTGAAAACTGGAGGAGTCATTGATAAATACACCATGTGTTACCTCCCAGTACCGAGACTCAGTGTCTCCTGATGGAAATTATTTTAATGAAACGTAATCACATCTACTTCCCTCATCCCTTGGAAAAGAAATGTAAAATCATTAGATGTTCCTGTAAGTATATCACAAGTAATACAGGATAAACTGACAGGATGCAACAAGTTCAAATCATATTTTTCCTCTTCATGTTTTGCCATGATTCCATCACGTTGTAAACGAGAAAAAAGCTGGCGCTGTTAATTCCGTGCTCTTACTAAATGAGATTATCTTGTACACAATAAATTGATTTGTCACCTTGGCCTATTCACTACAACTTGAACAGAAAAATAAATAGTGTCTGATGTTCCATTATTGATGTGATGCACATTAATGATGTTTTATTCCTAAGGCGATGATAAATGAGGAGGAAGTCCGAAACAGTATCCTGGTTTCAGCCGGCATACAGCTTGTTTTCTTCTTCCTAGCTAGGATTGTGCTGTGTTTTGGATCTGTGCACTGATAACACACCATTGTGATAGCTGTAGGTGAGCAATGCTCAAATGCTAAGCCAAGGAGACTCCATCTAGAGTACTGCATCCAGGCCTGGGGCCCCCAGCACAGAATGGATGAGGAGCTGTTGGATTGGGTCCAGAGGAGGCCACTAAGATGGTCAGAGGGCTGGAGCTCCTCTCCTGTGAGGAAAGGCTGAGGGAACTGGGCTTGTTTAGCTTGGAGAAGAGAAGGCTCAGGGGAGACCTCATTTTGGCCTTCCAGTACTTTGAACGGAGCACATAAACACGAGGGGGAGAGGAGACATTTTACACAGGCAAATAGTGATAGCACAAGGGAAATGGTTTTAAACTAGAAGAGGGGAGATTTAGATTAGATATGAGGAAAAGTTTCTTTACTCAGAGGGTGGTGAGGCACTGGCACAGCTTCTCAGACAGCTGTGGGTGACCCATCCCTGGAAGAGCTCAAGGCCAGGTAGAATGGGGCTCTGGGCAGCCTGAGAAGGTGCAGAGGGGGGCAGAGGGGGCAGCTCTGCCCATGGCGGGGGGGTTGGAACTGGAGGGGCTTTCATATTCCTTTCAACCTAAGCCATTCTATGATTCACAATTCTATGATTCTATGACTCCATTAAGTATGTCTCAGCTCCATGTGCTGCCCTAACAGTGAGTTGCTGGGGTTGCCCAAGGATCTCTGAGTTGGAAAGATGGAAAAATGCTCAGCACTGCAGGGATTGTGGATTCAGGAATCTAGTTCCATCCACCTTGTCTTTTTCAGCTGAAAGCAGTTAATTCATGCAAATAGACCTTTAGCTTTCATTCTGTAGCTATTTTGTGCATCCAGAATGAAAACACCATGAATACCGAGTACTGCAAAATGATGCTTCAAGTACCTTGTCTAAATTTGAGGAGAGCACTTGCTGCAACACCTGGCAAAGCTGCCCATCAGTTGAAAACTATGTTGAAAACCACTAACCTGCAGTGCTTCCATCCTACTGAGAAACTAACTCAGAAACAGCATGCTACTATGGTTACTCTATTTCAATTACAGGGTAGTACTTGCAGAAACAGACTCTTAATCAGGTTTGGGTCCTTTACTAGAGACAGTAGAAAATATGCAACACATAATGAGGCTCCTAGCAGGCACACAAAGCTGCTTAAAGAATACACATTGATGGTCTCTCAGAAATATGCAAAGGAAGTCAACCTGGCCCACAAATATTTTTATATTCTCTAACAACTTTCAAGTGGCTCACAAGAAACGAGTTCCAGCCTGTTATGCTTACTTCTAAGACAGCTCTTTATGTTTTTACTTTGATGCTCAACTTTGTTTCCTGTGGATCATAGTTCCAACTGCTTTCATCTCCACAACGCATCCATGACTGCATGACTTTGAGAAGACTGGGGACAATCAAAAACATTGTTTAATTTATATTACTGTAATGAGCCTTGTTTTACAACACCGCACAGCAAAAGAAGCGCCCAGCTCTGCACTGTACTGAGCAACTTGAGCAGCAACACAGCACTAAGTGCAGCTCTTATCTCTGAGGGTCAGTGCACTTCAGAACACAAGGATCTGTTCCTGTAGAGCCTACTAGTTCCGTTATATCAAAACACCCAAATCCCTCAACTTACCACAGTTGTTCTGAAAAAAATAACTGGGTAAAACTCAGTTCTCCAGTTTAGATCTGCAGAACTACTCCTAATGTGGTTTTAATCCTAACCAACATCTTCTTTATTATTTCTTAAGATATGACCATCATATCCAAATCCTTCCTGGAGTCCCTTCCTAGCCAACATCAACTTCTCACGGTGCCTGAAGATACATTTTCTTCCAGTACCTCAGAACTCTTGAGGGTCCTGACACGGGCTGTCCCTCTGTAGCTGGCCATTCCGCAGCGGGCGTTCCACCACAGACAGCAGGGTGTGCAACCCACTCCTAACCTGTGTCTGTTGATGGAACAGTGGGCAGTTCTGAAGCACATCTGAGCAGTACGTTACTGTAAGCAGTCTGAGCTTGCAGTTGGTTACTTCTCTTCCTTGTTCCTTGTCAGTGAGTTCTGAGCAGTGGATATAATGCTAAAACCAAAGGCATTCTGTAATTCTGCAAGGTCCTCGAGATCTGCCATAGAACTAATCTATGGTAGGTAAATCAAAATCAAAGACAGAGTAAGCAACTCCAGACAGTTCTCACCAGGAGATATGCTCAGTGTATTCTGTCCCACAGCTACCAACAATTCCGTAAGTTGTTCTAATGCCTGCTGTACTTGTCATTGTTAGAAGCTGACACAAAGTGAAACAAAAGAATGACTTTTTAAAGGTTGTTCCTAACTGCAAGCAAGTCATTACCATGGGCTTCCACCATGACAACATGTACAACCAAACTTGTTTGGGTACACACATGACGTGCAGTTCCAAGTGTCTTTGTAAACCATTTCTTTAGTGTCTTTGAACTGTTACTGAGCAACAGGACAGTAAAGAAACATGAATAAATGAACTATTAACTAGAACAATCTCATCCAGTAAGAGACAAGGAAAACCTTGTAAGCACTTCACTGACTTCATTTTATCTGAAAAATTGAGACAGTCGTAATTAGGACATGCAAAACACACCCACTTGGGAACCTGCTCTTCCATGAACAGAAGGGACACTCACAATAGGCAGCTGTTTCCAGGAGTTCATCTTTCATCAAGGTGGGGACAGTAGAGCCTTACTCACAAAGCAGGACGGTGCTCAAAATCTTCTTTTCTTGCCCAAGATGTATCATCAGGTCTACTGCTTAGACTACCTAGACATAGGAGCTATTTTTCAGAGATTAAGCTGGTAGCCAAGAGTGAAGTAAAAACCAAAAAAGCAGATTACCTACCCATAAAGGAACAAAAAACCCTATCACACTTTTTAATCAAATCTGACTTACGTTAAATAGAGCTGGATGTGGTGCTGATCCTGACTGCAGTCACATCTGATGGCTGAGGTTTATATCACACAAACTAATCACAGCAGGAGTGCATCTTTTCTGAAAACAAGCAGAAGGATTGAAATAGAAATATAAGAATAATATACAGATTTACTGGTAGCATAATTGGGATACAATCTTCCTCGGTATAGTGCATAAAAGAAAAATATGAAATATGATTAAAACCAGTAATAAAGCTAAGCAAAAACAACAACAGCAAAAGCTTAAATTGAAAACCAAGAAATTTCCTGATGGATGTAAAAACCAAGCTGAAAAGATATCCAGTAATGGGCAAATCTGCATGATCAGTGGCACAATATCCATGAGATATAAGGACTTCTGGGAGTCCAAATATTACAACTACGGTTCTCATAGAAATAGAATGTACCTTCTATGATCTCTGTAGTAACACAAAGAACACAGCCGCTGGTTAAAAGAAAAAGCTATCATCATTTCTGCCTCAATACAATTAATAATGGGCTGTAATTAAACTACTTATGGTCTCTTCCTTTTTTGATGCATAAACGGAGTTTCCATTATTGTGAATGAGATCACGCATTTTGGTGAGTGAAGAACACGCTTACAAGTGATGATACTTAATAAATTTCATTTTGTGAGGGGAAAAAACCCAACAGATCAAGAAATTTATGCAAGGAAAAAGGATTTTTTACTACGTGTAAATATTTCTGTAGCAAAAGATGGAAAAATAACTACAGAAAACTATTCCCAAATACTAATTGTCTAATACGTGCATGCTGAGTATTCCTTGCTGGTGACCAACCATGCTGAGACCTGTGGCATTGCCTGTCACCATCCATCAGAATATCTGCCTCTCAGGCACAATTTCAGTCAACACATTTATTTTATCTTCACACTCACTTTGCTTCCTTAATAAAATGTGATTGTAATTCTTACATATACAAAAACAAAAACAACAAATCCATGAAAAATACTCTAAGAGGGAAAGCTGGAATTTAAATCAGGGGCTTCCACCTTTCATCTCTAGCTGTTTTAAAAGAAGGTTCTTTTAAAAGTGTCTGTACTATATTAAAAGTTCAACATTTACAGAAAAATCACAGGATTATCCCTCTACTCACCATAAGACTTGTGAGAGCAATTGAGGGAGCTGCAATTGTTCAGTTTGAAGAAGAGGAGGCTCAGGGGAGACTTCATTGCTCCCCATACCTGCTTGAAAGGAGGTTGTGGTGAGGTAACAGTCGGCCTCTCCTGCTCTTCTGAAGGTAACAGTGATAGGATAAGAAATAATGGCCTTAAGTTGCACTAGAGGAGGTTCAGGTGGGATATAAGGAAAAAATTATTCTCAGAAAGAGTGTTGAGGCATTGTCACGGGCTGTCAAAGGAGGTGATGGAGTCACTGTCTTTAAAGGCATTCAAGGAACGTGTGGATGTGACACTGAGGGACATGGCCTTGAGTGGTCACAGGCATGGGCTGATGGCTGAGCAGATGATCCTGGCAGTCTTTCCAACCTTGATTCGATTCTCTGATTCTCGTTTGTCAGACACAATACTTCCTCCAAAATTCTTAATAAGCTTCATTAAGAATACGGAAAGTTATCCCAGTGCCACACTGCCTTTCTGAACTATTTCTTTCTACACAGTGCTTGCTTCTACCTCCTTACTATGTTGGAAAGGTATTTCTAGAAGCAGAAAGTCATGCCCCTGCATTACAAAGTGCTTCCTTCATTAAGGCCAGTTAGAAGCACTGGGAAAGGATTCCCATGTGCACACCTCTGGTCTCTCTCCTTCCACCCCGCTCCTCGGGGCTCTCGAGGAGATTCCTTCCATTCTCTCCATGCCTCTCTGTGCCCCCTGCTCTGGGGTTGGGGACTGCGAGCCCCGACGCCTCTGCTTGCCCACTTCAGTGCCCTGTTGTTGGGTAAAGCTTCCCTCCCTGGCACTCAGCCTGTAGGAACAGTGGTTTCCAGCAGGGGAGGTAAGAGCTTTATTCGCTTGTTTCAAATTAAAGGTCGAGCTTGCAGTAGTACCAATTTCTCTCAGGACTGTAAGCGGAGAATAAGAAGAAAGAGCTTTATTTCCTTAAGACGCAAGAAGGGAAGAGTGGGCCCAACATGCACCAGCTGGGAAAGTCTTAACAGCACCCTGGGGCAGCTGCCTGACAGGGCTCAGAGAGCAGGGAAATTGAACTGCCTGCACCAGCTCTTTCGAAACTGTCTGTATGTGCCTTTATATTTTCACACCATGTCCATCTCTTCGGTTCCAACTCAGAATCTCATTTTGCATAAATCAGAGGTTATCAGATCACCTCATCAGTCCCTTTATTTCTGGATAGCACAGTTCATCTCATCATCAGTTAAATATTGTAGCAACTTACACACTACTTTGACCTTCTTTGTCAACAACATGAAGACCTGATAGATCACTTCTGTATTCAGACTGTAATAGAGATTTTAAAATTAGTCAGATGAACTAGAGACTTTATTTAATTTTGATTTGTTAATCCATCTCATCATAAAGCATATTAGCCTTTATATTCACCAAGTGCAAAATGTTAGAAATATATTTAAAAATAAATCTTTAAAATATAGTTAGTGCTGTCATGATCAGACACAGAAGCAAAGAATACATGCTCTGGTTAAGCCAAGAGATAGATAGTTTCAGCTAAGTTATTGTCTTTTATTTAGTAAGTTTCAAAGTCCTTGAGTGAAGAAGACATATAGGACTGGAAAAACCCACCCTAGATTTACTAATGTCATTATGACTTGATTTCAAGACCGAGACTTTGAAACAGTGATCAAAAAGCTGTGCCAGTCATAGAATTCTCTTTGAAAGAAGACCCAAGTTTGCTAATTCACAAGATATGTTTCAGAAGGTGCTCAGGCCAGTTTGAAGAGCCAGATCTTGACAGAGGCTTTCATCAGTACTGCAGAAAGTAATTATGTGTAATTTCATATTAAATTAAAATGCAAAGCTGAATCCAAACATGTATTAATTTGATGATACAGGAAGAATATAAACATATGTACATTATTATACAAATGTGTTGCTATAGATGTATTATAAGCATGTGACATTCATTCAAAGAATGGAGAGGACCCCTACTAGGTGCTAACCCAGCTGGAAGCGCAGGAGATAGTTTCTCTTCTATGAGTGAATTCTGCTTGGGAATAGTGAAATGCCAGGGGAGTTGCCATGGCTGTTAGGTCTTGAGGTGCTAGCAGAGCAAGTATTTGTGAGCCCTATGCCAGGAATGTTCTTCTGAAGTCAGAATGTAATTTGACAGCCTACCGTTCAGGATTTGTTTCTTTGCTCATAATTTCAAATGAAAGTTTGTTTCAGCGGTCAGTGGAGAATTTTTCTTCATGAACTAATTATTTTTTCAAGCAAGAGAAAAAACTTTACACATTTTGAATCAATTGAATTACAGTCTTTCTTATGTGAAAGGCAGTACTAATTTGTTCAGTCTTCTCTCTAAGGCAGCCCACTTTAAGTCTTTGCACTCAAACAGAATGTATTTATTTTATCAGAAAATATTTCTAGTGAAACTGCTGAGCTACAGAAAGAAATTTTAATACTTTATTAGCTTGTATGTAACTTCTTACTTCTTTAGGGTGCCGTCTACTGTTGACAAATGATGGAGTGATTCAAGGGAATTGGTTTGGGGGACGACTTCACAAGGTACTAAATCATTGGAGATAGGATGCTGTGTGGCCAGAAGATGCCCTGCATCTCAAATGTGAAGATATCGATGCCACTTTTTTCACTTCTCTATTTAAATTCTTTTCACTCAAAGTTTTCATTGGAGCATGTAACTTTGCAGACCTTATTTTTTTTTTACGAATATAAATGCACTTAGCAAAAATTCTATGCCATTTACTCTAATGGGATTAGAAACTGACCTTTCTATGTGATATTGCTTGTACTCCCCATTTGATTTTATAATGGCTTCCTTAACAAGATAATCCATCAAGGAACTATGTCAACTGCATCTAGTAACCTACTTAACAGATCCGGTTTGGCAGCTATTACACATTAGTGTGTGTCATCAAAGCTGGGTGTAATTTATATTAAACCACTGTAACAAACACATTTGACAGTAGGCCACAGTTCCTAGAAAAGGAAGATGTTCACTTATGAGCAGAATAATTTTTTGCAGTAATTTGTCTTGTGGCTGGAAAGGAGAGAGCACCTACTGCTCATCAAATTCAAGTATATGGTTGACTTTGGCAACAGAGTATACAGCTGTGAGTTCATGTAGGACTTCACAAAGATCTCATTTCACTTTGGTGCGTGAACAGAAATAAGGCAGTAACTCTCCCTAGAAGAGACTTTCTTGGGATCTTCAGCCGACAGATGGCCTGTCTGAGTTGATTATATTAAGTTTTACAGGGAAGAGGCAAATTTCCTGTGGATTTGTTCATTTTGAAACACAAGATCCAATTGCTAGTATGTGTTTCTGTCGCTAGAATGGAACAGTGCTGAGTGAAAAGTACTATCTTGGAGCAGAGTAAGTAGTAATAGCCCCTGTCTTCATTTCAATGAATGATTCACTACATAAATGGTACTGCTAATACTCAGAAAAAAAAAAAAAAACAACTCATCAATCATGTTTTTTGGATCTTTGGGAAGGTCCTTCTCATTTTTTTCACAGAAACATTTCCTTTCTTGTAGATAATTAGAATTTAGATACTATTTCATAAGAAATACTTCGAATTATTCTGCACCTTACATCTGTAGTACTCACATTTAAGTATTGCCCAGTATTTACCTCTAAGATGATCTAGTCCAAATATCAACCTGTCACCACCACGCCCACTAAACCACGTCCCTCAGTGCCGCATCTCCATGTTTCTTGAACACCTCCAGGGGCGGTGACTCCATCACATCCCTGGGCAGCCTGTTTCAACCCTCACAACTCTTTCTGAGAAGTAATTTTTCTTAATATCCAACCTGAACCTCCCATGGTGCAGCTTAAAGCCATTACCTCTTATCCTGTCACTGTTATGTGGAAGAAGAGACCATCTCACCTCAACCTCCATTCAGGCAGCTACAGGTAGCGATAAGGTTCCCCTGAACCTCCTCTTCTTCAGGCTCAACAATCCAAGTTTCTTCAGCTTCCCTGTAAGACTTGCGCTCCAGACCCTTCACAGCCCTTCTCTGAACATGCTCTGGCACTTCAATGCCTTTCCTGTAGTGAGGGGCCCCAAACTGAACCAGTACTCGAGGTGCGGCCTCACCAGAGCTGAGAATAGAGGGACGATCCCCTCCCCCCCCCACTCCTGCTGGCTGCACTATTGCTCATACAAGCCAGGATGCCATTGGCCTTCTTGACCACGTGGGCACACTGCTGGCTCATGTTCAGCCAGCTGTCAGCTAACAACCCCAGATCCTTGCCCACCATGCAGCTTTCTAGCCACTCTACCCCAAGAGTGTAGGGTTGCACGGGGTTCTTGTGACTAGAGTGCATGACCTGGCACTTGTTCTCATTGTGCCTCATACAATTGGCCTCAGCCCATCAATCCAGCCTGTCCACATCTCTCTGTAGGGCAGAGATTCTTAATCCCAGGCAGATTGACACTTCCTGCACACTTCGTGCTGCTAACTTACTGAGTGTGCTCTCAGTCCCCTCATCCAGATTATCAATTAAACAAGACTGGTCCCAGTACCAACCCCTGGGAAACACCCCTTGTGACTGTTCCCTCATCCACCAGATGGGTCACTTAGCCATAGGAGATGAGGTTGGTCAGGCACGACCTCATGAACCCATGCTGGCTGGGTTCCTTGGTTGTCCTGCACATATCTGCATGATCTGTACTGCCTTTAATTGACTTCCTTTGAAGTCCTTGAGCAGCCCTGCGGAGAAGGACTTGGGGGTCCTGCTGGACAAGGAGCTGGACATGAGCCAGCAGTGTGACCTTGCAGCCCTGAAGGCCAACTGTGTTCTGGGCTGCATTAAAAAAGGGGTGGCCAGCAGGAGAGGGAGGTGATTGTCCCCCTCTACTCAGCTTTGCGAGGCCCCAGCTGCAGCACTGAGTCCAGGCCTGGGGCAGCACAGGAAGGATGTGGAGCTCTTGGAGTGTGTCCAGAGGAGGGCACTAAGATGATCAGAGGGCTGGAGCACCTCTCCTATGAGGAAAGGTTGAGGGAACTGGGCTTGTTTAGCTTGGAGAAGAGAAGGCTCCAGGGAGACCTCATTGTGGCCTTCCAGTACTTGAAGGGAGCTTATAAACAGGAGGGGGAATGGCTGTTTACGAGGGTGGACAGTGATAGGACAAGGGGGAATGGTCTTAAGCTGAGACAGGGGAGGTTTAGGTTAGATATTAGGAGGAAGATTTCCACTCAGAGGGTGGAGATGCACTGGCACAGGTTGCCCAAGGAGGCTGTGGATGCCCCATCCCTGGAGGCATTCAAGGCCAGGCTGGATGTGGCTCTGGGCAGCCTGGTCTGGTGGTTGGCAGCCCTGAACATAGCAGGGGGTTGAAACTGGATGATCATTGAGGTCCTTTTCAACCCAGGTCATTCTATATTTCTATGATTCAAACAGATTCGCAAAATAATTACTTTACCCTTACTCTGACAGCAAAATACAAAATGAGTGCCATAACCATCCACAGTACAGTTTTTCTTACATTATCAACCACTTAAAACACAAATCTCATTAAAATGCTGAAAAAAATCAGACATATACTAGTGTTTAAATCTGGTGAATTAAAACGTACTCATAAAATGTCTTGTACTCCATCACTGCCCTTTCAGAACACTTTTGAAAACCTGAAGCTGCAAAGGAGCTGATAATATCCTAGGTTTATGTAATGCTTCTTTTTGTTATTATCATTTCTTTGCAAGCTTCTCAAACGTGCTCAAACAGGTGATGTATGTTTTCCCTATCAGCTCTCCTCCCTAACTAAATAATTTACTTTCTAATGTAATGAAAGTCGGGCGTCAGCTTCCCAGGATGGATGCTTGAATCTAACATTCCATCAGGCAAACTTTGATCATAGGGCTTTTATTAATCTACAAGGCGGATCTGGAACAACACTTTCACGAAACTAATATATTAGTTATCTCGAGGGAAATCTTAAAAAACAGTCTAAAAATGTGCTGAATTTATATTTCAGCTATGGTCAACAGATGGTGATTTACTGGTTCTCATTTCAAAATGAAATTGATGTTGGGCATTTCCAAATGTGGGTGTTTAGATATATTAGGACAGTATAAAAGGATGAAATTTCTGGAGTATTCACTGTATGAAGCTACTGTGAGGTGTAATAAATATTTACTCATTGCTGTTCAAGAACTATTAGAGAATAGCAGAAAATCTAGTGTATATATGCAGCTTAAAATACCGTGCAACATCTGTGTTACACTTTACTTGTATGAACAGGTTTTACTGAATATTTAGCAATTCCTGTAACACCAGGCCAGTAAATATAATCCTGTCATCAAACTAAAATAGATCTGACTTCTTTCTGGCCTGGAGGGGCAATTGCTGTGATTGCTCATCATTACAGTTGAAATTGCATACAATACCACCAATGAAAACAAGAGGCCGTACCTTCCTTTATCTTTGGAAGATCACTAGTTATAAATTGCACCAGATTTTCTCAAATGAAGGAGCACATTTAATGAAAATTCTACCCTGTCATGTCTCTACTGTTTTTTGACAAGATGAATGTATTCATATTTGTTAGGGTATTGCTTGCCTGTAAGCTATAAAACATCTGTAAGTCATTCTGTCAAAAACTTGTCTCAGCTTTGAAGGGAGTTCTTTTTGGGGGAGAACTTAGAAGATTTTTTTCCCCTGTCTTTGAGGGGAAAAAAAAAGGACAAAATATTCACCTTTTTAAAAAATATTCATGACCACGTAGGTTTTATCTGCTTCTTCTTCCAGTTTGAAATACTCATGTTTCAAGCCAGGCAAGTTTTCCTACACAGGTGCTTGCAAAGAACCCTAACGTATGTATCATGACTCCTTCCACTCCCTCATGTTTTTTAGAATATAAATAGATCATTTGGGGATTTTTAGTTTGAAATATGTGTAAGGGGAAATTCTTCTTGCTTCAGCTGTCTGGTATGCATAATTGCCTTTCCTGAGCACGCTTCATAAATCGTGATGAATAAAAAATGCAGACAATGGATCATCTCAGATCATATAGTACAATAAAAATGACTGTAAAGAGAGAAGGGAAGAGAAGCACACACCACTTTTGAGTGTCACCTTAGCAATGGAACTGTGTTTCTGAGTTTTGATGCAGAAATTTTCTGTCAGATGAGCTGAGCATATATTTATAGGATGAAGTCCTAGAACTGATTGCCACGCCAAATAAAAATACAACCACTATTTATAACGGTGTTAGAACTAGAACAATATGTTGATGGGTAGAACAAGATGTTTCCATTTTTCATAACCAGAATAGTGCAATAAATAACCAAGGAACAGTTTCTTTAGAAACCTGAGTCTTTCTACATTTAGCATGCAGAAAAACTCATTTTAGTACAGATTTTTTTTCATGTATTTTATGAGAGTAACTGGCAGTGTTGTCATATGCAAAAATGAAACCCGTATGAAGCGTACAGCACTGAATTCCAGCCATCTAAGCGATTAGATAAGTCCACAATCATGTTTCCACTCCTTTTTGCACAAGGAGAATTAGGTATTCAAGTAAGGCGTTACATGAGTGTAGCTGAGTAGGAAGAACACAGATGCCACAGTTAGAAAGCTGGGGCAACCTGAAAATCTGTGTTTTCTTACCGCAGTTTGGTCACTTTGTGTTTTCCTCCTGGAAGAAAACTTACAAATGAGGTGAGAGGTGTTGGGCTTGGTGATGCAGGAGGCTTTTGGCTTACCTTGCTTGGATGATTTCAGCCCAGTTGAACTCATGGTTTGCTTCATATGTATTTGTTCTCCTGTCAACATTTGCTGCTTTTCAAAGCTCCACATTTCAGAAGTAATCTGAATTTAATGTTTAATGTACCAATTTTGAATGGATTTTTACCAGAAATCTACAAGCTGACTTTGAGTCTGAAAGCCAGACATTACTTGTTGGTCAGTGAACTCCATGGCAGGAGTGGGAAGGTTTGGCATTGGTCTCTCCTTCCAAGACTGTTTACATACACTCTGAAAAAGACAGTTTCTTGGGTAAATATCGGCAGAGCCACTGGGAGCAGCATCTAGGACAAGGATCCTTCCTTCATCCCACCTGAAGGTAGAATTTTACCTCTGCAGTACTGTCAGCTCCTTCAGGCCCTATGAATTTTCTATCATTACCTTGGTGGCTTCACAACTTCAGTGGAAGACTTGAAGAACTCGTCTGCAGTCTGGACCTAAGGCACTTTTTGGAAATTCATCTTTGAATCAATCAAGGAGAACAAAGTTATCTTCCCCACTGCTCAGTATGGGCTCTAAACCCTTGATTGTTACATAGAAAATGCAGCATAGGTTTTTCTACCAAAACAGTGGTAGCTTATCTGCTGTCCACTGAATTCAGTGCTCTCAGATTAGGTAGATTTTATCTAAATTCAGAAAAATGGATAAGCTCCATTTGAGGACATAGGCATAGGAAAATTTCATGTAACCAAGTGAAAAACACAGCGACACCTTTAGCCCTACAGCAAAGTAAAACCAAAGTAGTCTAAAACCAACAAATTTCAGATGTATGAATACTCAGGTAGCTTAGAATAGCGTAGACTCTAACTGTACTAATATTTCACCTGTCCCTGAAGTTTCTAAATCCTTCTATGGGTCTGTACCTATATTCAGAGACATGGTCAATAGCATGGAATAGAACTTCAGAGTGGTGTGTTGGCATTCAGAGCACAGCTGTGATGGTTTTGATAGCTACACAGTCTAGAGTAGAATTTAATTTTGGTGATTCAGAGCAACTGTATGCAGTCAACTCTAGGACTGGTTTAGTAGGGAGGTTTTGAACTAGATGATCTCCAGAGGTCCCTTCCAACTCCTTTGATTTCACAATTCTGTGCTTACAAAAATACTATTCTGAACTTTCCCCCTCCTCTCAGTTTTCTACCGAAACTGTTAAGGATTAAGTCGTGTTCTCTATTCTATTACGTCATATACCACAAAATGATCTCAAAGCAACACCAGATTTGGTATCTGTAAATCTCAAATATTACTTTTCTTTGTCTAGTTAGAAAATTGTTTTGTATACAAGAAATAATCTAAAACTGAGGTAAACTTTATGAAGAAATCATAACACTGCTTTAGAATGTTGCAAATGCTCCTTTAGATTAACTTTCCCTGACTCATGGGAGATCTCTTTTGGATGACTGGTTCCTCACAAAACTTTGGTATCTGGGTCCCATCTGGATCATGAGCAGCACTCCACTCTTCTTCTGTGATGATGCAATACATAAACCAAGTCCCCTGAATGCTCCCCATTACAAGCTCAGTATCTGCCTGGTGGAGGTCATGGAGACAAAACTGTGGGAACCAACGCTGCAGACCAGAGTCAGTGTGAAAAACGATATGTAAATGCAATAAGAATACATAACTAAGACTGTCTGCTAGTGCCTAAGTGTCTTAGATTTCACAGCTTAAATCCTATTTAAATTCTTGCATTGTAAGTGGGTGATTTTCTCCATCCGGTACAGTTATAGATCTTCCCTTAAAGGCTTTTTCCTGTGGCAGCTGCACACTGAGTCTCTGTCATCAGGCTGAGGTACAAGTTCCATTCCATCCCGTATTTCAGGTTCGCTGGCTTGGCGTTCGGCATATTTCTGAAATATGTAAACAACATTTAAGAACGCTGAAAGCACCAAGGTGTAATTCATGAGACAGAATTTTCCTCCTCCCTTCCACTGAAAAGCTTGCCTTAATCCACAGTCCCTATGTCACTGTTTACAATCTGTTTACAAGGTGTCTTTTTAACACACCTACTAATAGGCTGCATTGCCTCTAAAAACCTTTTAATGTTTTCCCATATCCTATGATTAATGTCAATTTGAATATTGTCATTATTTGTGTGTCTAACCACTTCATGCAGATAACACTGAACAATGCCAAACGTTGTGTCAACCTGTGACCACTGAAACTGAGCTCTAACTCTGTACAGCAAAGGAGGAAAAAGCAATTAGTACTTCCAAAGAGCAGAAACTTAAGTTTCACTGGAGATTTGCATCTGCTAGGGAACCAGTAACTCTACACTCACGGCTCACCACTCCACAAGCTGTATTTCCAGAATTTCTTTTCCCTGTATTCAGTGTCACGTAATACAGCAGAGAAGCGAGTGAGGGGACAAATACAAACGAAAACAGGAAAGAAAGCTGTGTGCAGATTATGTCCTACCTCTATTAGAAACCATATAGCAAGTGACACTGAAAACAGATCTGACTGGGAGGAGGGGTGCAAAAAAATTAAATGAATCTGTCATTGTGCAAAACAACTATTACAACAGGCTGCCTCTTTAATAACAGGTTTTAGCAAAGTTCTTTACACCGATCTCCCGTGAATAATATAAATGATGCCTGCTCTGGAGGTAAGGACTGAATATGAAATGCGTAGCATCAGTAGCGGTAGCAGTTGAGGAAAGGTAATAAAACAAGCAATTGCACTAACCTGCAGCACTTTGTAGTAGTAGCAGTAAAGTCTGTGAGGCTGAAGTAATTCTCTTGCCACTGACTGTCCTTCTTTAGCAATTTTTTGTGCTTCTTCATCGTTTTCCTAGAAAATTGAGAAGAAACAGCAACAGATACCAGAACTATCAGTGAGTTCCTTGAAGCCTTGCTGGCACAAGCAATTTTATCAAAGGGACTATTCAAACCTGATTCTTTACCATTGCTGGTACGCTGCAAAGGGACACTGTTTAAATTTGGGTGTTTTTTTTTAAATCCTGGATTGCTTTTATGGTTCCCATTGGCAGCTCAGTGCTATCGCTGACACCTCTCATGGGCAACCGAACAGTTTTGAAAACAAAGTTGACTGCTGCTCCACTGTTTTGCTAAAGCCACAAGCCTCTTCAAAAGCAGCTCCGACATCTCCCACGTGTATTAGTTACACAGAAGACAAGCAGCTGTAGCCTCTTCCATGCAGTGCAATTTCAAGTTTTCCCTTTAGAAATGTCTGTTTGACTTACATTTAAAAGTGATGTGTGTAATGCCAGTGTATGCATTTCAACTTATGTACTTGCTCTCAAGTTTTGTAGGTGTGCATTTCAAAGCTTGCAGTATTCTCTTCTGATTCTTTATGGAGCACTGTCAGAAAAGGTTTTATTTTCCGTGTTTTTAACCTAATAGTTAAGCTTAAAATACAAATGGCATTTTCAGTCGCACAGAATGCCAACCTGTTATTCTGAGCAGTGATTATGTAGAGCAGTGATTCTTTTGTACATTTGAACAAACATGCAATAATTTCTTTTCTAGTCAGAACCTGAAAAAAGTGATAGAACTAATTAAGTAGGATTCTGGGCGTTTCTTTGAAAACTACTCACATTAGTCATTATACAAAGGCTTTGACTCACAAAAACCCTTCTACACATACCTAAAATTAATTTGCAAGTATATCCCTGAATAGAGATAGTTACTTGACTTATGGCCTTCACCTCCCTCCAGTAACAACAAAATGTACTTCTTTTATCCCGGGATCTCAGCTGAGAGTTTGTAATGTAACTTACCTTAGCCCATCTTATTTTCTCTAGCAAGTCCTCTAAGCTTCTCTTAACTGGAACATAATGTTTCCATGGTTTCAATACAGTATAAAAATGTTCATAGTATTGGGAATCTTGCTTCAGTACTAGGCTGTCACCCAGCAAGAGGTATGGAAACCTGTAAGCTGCTACAGTCCCATCAACATTCACCTGGTATTTGTACTGCAATGTGAAGAGAGAGGGAAACAAAAAGTGAAACATTTTGCAACAGAATAGGAACACTGGCTACACAAAAGTTCCTCCTCTAGGCAAGACACAGTTGTGTTTACTAGTTCTCATCTTTAAGCCTGCCTTAGTGTAATGCAGATGCAGTTTCTTGGTGTTCTGGTAACATTAAGATAAGAAGATTTGTTTTCAGCCCAAGACTTACAGTCAAGAACCTTGGTGTCACATGGACTTTTCCTGATGTGCATTATTCTATTTAAGTGTCCTTTGGCAGAACAAGGAGTAGAGCTGTAAGTGAATTAATATTAACTTACTCTTCAAAAGAGTAAATTTATTCTCACTTAAAACTATACAGAATAATTAAAACATTATTTTAAGAGCAACCACGAGTACATTGCTCTGCCAGATACCCTTGGCTGTTCCAGCACTTGTGATACATTGATCTCTAGAACAGAATCTCTGTTGCCATGTATTGTAATTACTTTTTACAGAACTCTGTCCCCTTTACTTCTTATACACAGGTTGTGTCCATTGTTTTCATACTTACTCCAAGTAAAAATCCTGATGGTGAGCAAACTAATTTCTCAATTTATTTAAAAAATAATCTTGAAGAACTCTATCAAGTATGGAGTATCAAAGGGACTCCGTGAAGAAAGGGTAGTGGCAATGACCTTGATTATGTGTGGTCTAGCTACCCTGCAAGAACCAGTGTTCCCAGATCAGCACAATTATTTCATTTACTGAGTAGAATTAGCCAAAATAAGCCTTTTTTTTATTACTCAGTAAGAAACTGAGAGCAAAGTTAATCTGAGACTATAATTTGCTTACTACCTTGAAGAAGTCAAAGAAGCCCATCAGTGGAACCTTTCCCAACTCCTTTTCTTTCTCTCTGAAGAAGAAATACCCTGTTATTCCAGCATCCAGTAGTTCTGGATTT